ACCCTTAGGTTGTAACTGGCCCCTGGGTGTTAGCAGGTGGGTGACAGATATGTTCGGATACTGGGATCTCCATGAGGCATTTAGGCGAGGCATTGGGCGGTACTGGGGGGCTGGGGTGAGGGAGGGTGCCCCGAGGGACTGAGTGCCGTGCTGTGTTTGGAGTCATGGATGACTCTGGAGAATCTGGGTGCATTGAAGAACTGGGCGATCAGAGAGGGATGGGGTTACACTGGAATGACAGGGCTTCGGGGTGTTGGGGGGGAGACCAGAGAGCAGGTGATGGGTGTCTGAGGATGCTGCATCTGTTTTCAGAACTGTCTGGTCCGACGGGAAGACCGAGGCTTCACGGCTGTTGTGGGTGACTTTGGGCTGGCCGAAAAGATTCCTGTGTATAGGTGAGGCGAATGCTTTTGTCCCCCTAAACTTCCCAGAGGGCCCCTGCCTAAAGAAACTGTGCAGAATGCTGGGCCCCCAGGGACCTTTCCCTTGGGGTGGGAAGGGGCTTCCCTTCGTGTCCTTTTGCTTGGAGAGTGTGTCTCAGTGGGATGTTTCTAACCACACTGCCCCCGCAGGGAAGGGGCGAGGAAGGAGCCCCTGGCTGTGGTGGGTTCCCCATACTGGATGGCCCCAGAGGTGTTGCGGGGTGAGCTGTACGACGAGAAGGTGAGACGTGAACCCTTTAGCTCTCTCAGGCCTTCCTGAGACCCTTGAGATACCGCGGTGGGAGCACCCCAGGCTCCTCAGCACACGGCCAGGTGCTCTGGAAGCCCTGAGATCCCGCTTGCCCCTGGAGCCGTGTGACACGTGGAGACCCGCCCCGCGGTGTTGCAGGTGCCTGGCCTCCCTCCCCGTTTCTCTCCTCCAGGCTGATGCATTCGCCTTTGGGATTGTCCTCTGTGAGCTCATCGCCCGAGTTCCCGCAGACCCTGACTACCTCCCCCGTACCGAGGTGAATGGAAAAGAAGGACATCAGCAGGCTGGGTGGCCCAGAACCAAAGAGGGTCCCTGGAGGTCGAGGTCCCGGTGGGGGCTGGAAGAAGAGCCCAGGGAGGGCTGACTTGGAGGCCCCCGTCCCTGCTGTCCCCGCAGGACTTTGGCCTGGACGTGGCAGCTTTCCGAACCCTGGTGGGTGCTGACTGCCCGCTGCCTTTCCTGCTCCTGGCCATCCACTGCTGCAGTGTAAGAGCCGCGCCCGCCCGCCCCGAAGAGCCGACGACACCCCCAGGTGACGGGAGGGAAAGCGGGGACCCCTGTTGGGAGCATGTGGTGAAGCTCCCTTGTCCCTGCCCATCAGATGGAACCCAGCGCCCGCGCCCCCTTCACTGAAATCACCCAACACCTGGAATGGATCCTGGAGCAGCTGCCTGAGTCAGCTCCGCTCACCAACGCTCCCCCAACCCAAAATCTGGGTGAGTGAGCCTGACCTTGCCCCAGCTGAGTGCTGCTGCCCCTCTCCTCAGAACTCAGGGCCTTCTCTTGGAAAGAGCAAGTATATTGGTTGGCTGAGAAGGCCGGGCAAGGGACGTCTCAGGATAGTTTTTCAATGCTAGAGCCTGAGGGAGGGGAGTAAGGAAGGAAGGGGTGAAAGGGAGCTCCCCTAACTAAGCTCTAGTCCCACCAGCCTGGAGAATAAGTGGCCCCCAAGAAGCCCTGAACACAGTTAGTCCAGGGCCTAGCAGGCCACAGTGCCTCATCTTCACAACTCTTGACACCAAGACTAGATGATGCCCAGCTACCAAAGCCAACCACTCAGAAAGGGATTAGAACTGGAGATCTTGGATAGAGTGGGAGAAAAATATGGAACAAACTTAAAGATATCAAAAAAAAAAAAAAAAGCCCAGGCTTACTGGTCTGATGGAGACTGGTGAGACCCCGTGAGATTCTGGTGAGACCCGAGATTCTGGCCCCTGGTCACCCTCAGGCCTGGACCTAAACTCACCGCAGCGGCTTAACCCTCAGCCCAACAGTTAGACAGCCCTGCAAGCTGAACACTGCCCCAGGGAGATGTGATCAGAAGGACAGTGTCTGCGTAGGGAGAAAGCCGGGGGGGGCGGGGACCATAGGCAAGAAGGGCACGAGGAAAGGTGACCACAGGAGGAAGTGAGGGGAGAGCCGGGGACTGCGGTCAGTGTCATGAAAGCCGGCGCACACGGACTGTGGAGCGGGGGGCGAGTCTGCTCTGTGAGGTTTCACCCCGATCCCAAAACACAGTTCAAAGAAAAAGCAACCGTGGTCCGATACTGACAGCAATGACCACGGGCCTCTCTGTCTGCAGGGTCTCTTCCCAGGGGAGGCCCTTCTGCCACGCTTCCCCGGCCAGACCCCCGGCTCTCCCGAAGCCGGTCAGACCTCTTCCTGCCCCCATCACCAGGATCACCCCCCAACTGGGGAGACAGTCTGACTCGCGTGAACCCTTTCTCACTACGGGAAGACCTCAGGGGCGGCAAGATCAAGCTCCTGGACACGCCCAGCAAGCCGGTTGCCCCCCTGCCCCTTGTACTGCCGTCCCCGCCGTCCTCCACCCCCCTGGCCTTGGGGACGACCCCGGAGACCCTGGCCCAGCCCGGGACACCTGGCCGCCGCTGCCGCTCCCTGCCCTCATCTCCCGAGCTTCCCCGACGGATGGAGACAGCGCTGCCGGGTCCTGGCGCGCCCCCTCCCCCTGTGGGCCCCTCTGCGGAGGAGAAGATGGAGTGTGAGGGCAGCAGCCCTGAGCCGGAGCCCCCAGGACCGGCGCCTCAGCTGCCCTTGGCCACGGCCACAGACAACTTCATCAGCACTTGTTCTGCCTCCCAGCCCTGGTCTCCCCAGTCGGGACTCCCCCTCAACAACAACCCCCCGGCTGTGGTAGTCAACTCCCCACAAGGCTGGGTCGGGGACCCCTGGACCAGGGCTCAGCACAGCCTCCCCCGGGCGGCAGCTCTGGAGCGGACAGAACCCTCGCCGCCCCCCGCGGCTGCCCGGGAACCCGACGAGGGGCTGCCCTGCCCCGGCTGCTGCCTCGGCCCCTTCAGCTTCGGCTTCTTGTCCATGTGCCCCCGTCCCACACCAGCTGTCGCCCGCTACCGCAACCTGAACTGCGAGGCCGGCACGCTGCTCTGCCACCGAGGGCACCACGCCAAGCCACCCACGCCCAGTCTGCAGCTGCCGGGGGCACGCTCGTAGCAGCGGGGCCTGTCCTCGCAGGCCTGCGACTTTGGCCTACGGGACACCCTGTGGGGACGGAGTGCAAATGCTGGACAGTGCCAGCCCTTCTCCCCGTCGCACAGGTGTCAGCACGGGACTTGAGAGACAGCGCCTCCTGTCCAGCCCCTGGGCTCGCTCTTCCGTGGGGTGGGGGTGGGGGGGTCCCTGAACCAGATACAGCAGCGCCAACACACGAGACTAACACACGTGCAAATTATTTAAAAGTATTTCAATAAAACTGCCTGGCTGGCTCCGGGCTGCCCCTATCCGCTCAACTCGTGCGCCCTCCCCACCTGCACTTTGCTGTGGGAGGTTCTTAGGGAGGCCAGGGTCCCTTCCAGAGCCTTCTTGGCCCTTTTCCTAACAGTCCAGTTTCTAGGCCAGGGTTTCAGGCAGGCACCAGGCTGGCTAGTGGAAGTACAGGGCACGGATCAGCCCTTCCTGGCACTGCCTTGGCAGAGGGGAGGACGCTGGAGGGAGGTGGGCCCCGCGGGCAGCAGGCTGGGAGGGAGGGTGCAGACTGGTCAGCGTGAGCGTCTGGAAGAGTGAGAGCCACGGTGGACTGTCACCAAGAGCTCTCCTGTTCAGCCCGCCCTCCCCAGGCTCCAAACAGCCACCTGGCCAGCTCCCTTCAGCTGCAAGCCTTGGCTGCGCGCCCCCGCTGAGCCCTCCTTCATGTAAGCAGACCAGACCCCTGGAGGCCTGAGAGCTGCCATCCCAGCAGGAGGTTTTTCCTCTGATCTCAGACCTTGCTCAGAGTCCTCCCCCAGGTGCCCCATGCCTCATCCCCACTCCTGCAACTTACCCAGCTCACAGGTGCTCCCCGTCGGGATACGGGAAGGCTGCCATCTCACAGATGCAGGGAAAGTCATTCAAGCACGAACTTGACTGTGGTGTTAGTTCCTTAATTTGTACCTTGGCACAGTAGCGGTTCCATCGATCAAACCTGCACGGTGGTGACCGGTGAGCTCCGGGCCCCTGCCTCCCATCCCTTGTCCACTCACCCTGGCAGAACGCCTGACCCACGTCCTAACTCACCCCACCTGCCCAGACATAGCCCATGCCTGGTGTGACTCAGGGTCCAATGACTGGACTCCAGCCTGGTGAGGGCTTAGGCCCGAGAAGGGAAAAGTCACCCAAGTCCTTAAAGATAAAAGCTGCAATTAGGAACACAGGAGCTGGCTGCCCTGCTCAGGGTCCCTGGGGGTGGCCCTCTGAAACTCTACCCCCTGCTCCCTCCATCACTTGCCTGGGGCAGCCCTAGTGCCCCACACCAAGGAGGACAGCCTCAGTTCAGGCAGTTGCCTCAGCGGTGGGACGTGAGGTAGGGGCCAGGGTGCTTTGGCTGTGATTGTTGTTATGTGCTGTTGAGTCGGACCTGACTCATAGCGACCCTCCTTGGGTTTCTGAGGCAGTATCACTACGGAAGTAGATTGCCCAACCTTCCTTCTGAGGAGTGGCTGGTGGGTTTGAACCGCCAGCCTTCTGGTTAGCAGTCAAATGCCTTAGGCACTATGCCACCAGAGCTCCCTTCAGCTGTGATATTGTTGTTGTTTGCCATCCAGTGGGCCCTGACTCACAGTGACCCCTCCTTGGGTTTCTGAGGCAGTATCACTACAGAAGTAGGATTGCCCAACCTTCCTTCCGAGGAGTGGCTGGTGGGTTTGAACCGCCAGCCTTCTGGTGAGCAGTCAAGTGCCTTAGCCACTATGCCACCAGAGCTCCCTATGAAGCCCTGGCTAAATCCTCATCTGAGGGGAGAGAGAAGGACAGCACAGGGCCAATCTGCCGCGTGTTCCCGAGACAGTGCGCCACCGGGACCAGGTCCCGGGGAGGGGACAGCACAAGGCTGCTCTCGGCAGTCACCGACGAAACCGAGCAAATGCGCGAAAGGCCGTTAGGACCCGACGGGTGAAGATTCTGGAGGGGTCATGGGGAGGATAGGGCCTGCTTTTGCCCTCAAGAGGGAAACGCGGAGTTGGAAACACCCCAGAGTCCTAACAAATTTACCCATAGAATGGTGTGCCATCAATCCACTTCCAGGTCTTATTGTACCTGAGGCCGATCCAGTAAGAACTGTATGGGTAACGGTCTGGTAACAACAGAGGTAAGACTTCTCTGTAAGAAACCTGAGGAGAGATTCAGGAAGACAGGGTGTGTGGAGAGTGCAGAGAAGTGAGGAAGACAGTGAAGAGGGAGGCCTGTGAGTTCTGGCAGGAGGCTTGTTCCCGCCTTTCCCAAGTGTCAGCCCTGCAAGTGCCGGCCCGCTCTCTGGTTCACCTCCCAGCCTTTGGAGGGGCCGTTGCTGGACTGTTGTGGGGAAACAGAGCCCGCCCTCCAGTCCAGCCCCCAGCTGTGGCTGTCTCTCCCCGCGAGGCCATGAGAGTCCTGTTCAGTCGCCCCCAGAGCTGAGCCCAGCCATTCTGCATGTAATTCTTACTGAATTATGTTGGGAGTCTCTGAACCTGGCCAGTTCGGAGGACAGAGATTTGCAATACTTCTGGCTTTCCTCCCAACTTCTCCCAGTCACCGAGATGTAGTAGCAGCTTGCCTTGTTCAGTATCCATCCCACAGGGCAGCAAGTTTCTGAAAAACAACACGACAGCACTGCCCAGACCTGGGAAGGGGGTCTCCGCATGATTTGGGGATGAAAGCGGCGGCTTGGCAGCCTCCTGGCTGCCCCCGATCTCCCGGGCTCTGAGCTCTGCTTCTCCCTGGCTCCTAGCCCTTGCTCCCTGCCCTCTCCGCCTCCCCCGGCAGGGTCAGACCCGTGGATGCTTGGTGAAAGGCTTTGACATCCAACAGGGTTGCCCTAACAATCTGGAAGGGTCACTTCAACAGGGCTGGGGCCACTAGACCCAATCTCTGACAGTCCACCACCACTACCCCCATTTTGGCTAAGCTCACTCAGGCCCCCCATAATTGTTCCTTGGCCTCTTATGCACCTCATCAGCTCCCTGAGCATCCCCAGTACAGATGCAGAACTTCCCCCACACCCCAAGCTGAAAGCCTCCCCTCCTCTTCACACCCCCACAAGCACTTCTCCATGAAAACTTGGTTTCGCTGAAAGTGTCAGATGGAAGCACTCTCCATTTCCCTTCTTCTTGCCTCAGAATTCATGCCTCTTCTTGTTCCTCTTTTCCTGACCATCCATCAGAAATAAACATCCCTCTTTCTTGTCAACGTCAGTCACACCCCCATCTGTGCCCTGATCCACCAGCACCCAGCTCTCTTCCAGCACCCCGTGCCATCGGTCCTACGTCCCTCACACAAATCATGCCTTCCCCACCAGCCCCCCCCTTCAGCCTACATTTCCATCCGTATCTCCACTCAGCTGGCCCCTTATGGCAACTTCAAGGAATAAGAAGTGTAGTGTGGCTAGATCAGCAAGGGGCCAGCTGGCTGGGAGGAGGCCAGGCCTTGGAAGCCCTGCCAAGGATGTTTATTCTCATCTCACAAAGAAGAGAAAGTCCACACGGAGTTTCACACAGGACAGAGTGAGTTGTCTATTGACTGAGAGGGAGGTTGAGGGCATATGCTGAAAGTGGGGGGAAGGGAGTGGGTAAGGAGGCCTTCTGGGGTTGCCAGGCAGTGCTGGGGTCCAGCTGCGGCTGGAGACTAGCATTTCAGTGGCATCTCACAGCACGACTGCACACCGTCACACCTTGGTGCACACAAGGTGGGCAGCTGGGTTCACTCAGAGGTGAGGCTTTGCCAGCCGGGGGACCGGAGATGGAGGATGGAACCACTGAGCGATGGAAGTGATGAGCAGCAGACGGGGAGAGGAGTGAGGACAGGAGACAGCTTATGGGGACAGAGGAAACAGGGCAGCCAGTGGCCAGGCCTCCGTCAGGTGGCAGACGTGTGGGCAACGTGTAGGGCAGAGTGGGCAGCTGATGAGAGAAGAAACGTGAAACGTCCTTTCAACTGAGGAGCCACTCGAGATGCTGAAGCCCAGGGCACTGAGTGGGAATGGGTGGCCTGGGAGTGAGTGCCGTGGAGGATAAGGAGGCCGGGGAGCTGAGGCCTGGGGTGTCTTCACTCAACCCTACTGTCCCCAGCTGGACAGAGAGCAGCCCTGAGTGTAGATAACCGGTCCATAAATGTCCCAGGCTCAGGCGCCCTGCCTAGACCCTCAGCCTGCTTTGGCTCAGTCTTACCCCTTTTCTATGTCCCCCTCTCCTACACCCACATCCTGGCTGGTTTCCTGCTTTCAGAATGGATGAACACGAACACCCCACCCCAGTTCCCTAAACCACAATACTCCACCCACGCCATGGTGAGTGCGATGGTTGGGAGTAAGAGAAGACCAGCCACCCTGCCCCACCCCAGACTGCACCTCACCTTAACCTGGTTGGGGGGCTGGCTCAGACACACTGAGAATCTAGTTAAAGCTATAGAATCCTTTCTTTAGCAAAAGGTGCAAAAAAAAAATGTTAGAGACAATGTGCAGACCACCGGTTTCACGCCCAGATTCAGGGGTTCCCGGCCCCTTGGCACAGACGTCACACCAGACGGTCCCTGGGTTTACTGCACTGCTCCGGACAGTGGTCTGGCTTGCTGACTGCTGCCTTCCCTCCCCTGCAGGCTCTGCCTTGGAACTGGGTGACCCCCTCACCAGCGAGTGGCTGCAGCCTTCCTCCTGCAGGGCTTGTGGCCACGACCATCCGGGTCCCCAACAACTCACCGACCCCCTGACACAGAAACAGATGCCCCAGCACCAGGTGTCCCCTCCCTTGGGGCCAGGCCTCCCGGCTCCCCCGGGGCAGACACCTGAGGACTGGCAGGTGAAGAAGGGCCTGAGGGTGCTCAGGCCCCGCTGCAGGGCGGCCCGGCGGCCCTCCGCCCTCTGCAGGGCCTCGTCCGTCTGTCTGCTGTCCGACTGGCAGGTCTGCACCTGCTCTTCTGCCTCCCGGCGCAGCTCCTGTGCCACCCTCAGTGCCGTCTCCCGCTGGGCCAGCGCGGCCCTGGAGCCCCGCAGCTCCTCCTCCCTCTGCCCCAGCTGGGCCGCCTTGGCGAGGAGCTGCTGGCGCAGGCTGCTGTTGGCGGCCTCCAGAGCCCTGTCCCTTTGCTGGAGCTGCTGGGCCTCCTGCGCGTCTGCGGGGCCAGAAGGAGCGGGCTGGAGGGCACCTCCTCCAGCCGTGCCGGGCCCCCGCCGCCCGCATCGGCCCTTCACGCATCCCCACGACTTTCTGCACAGGGAGCTAGAGGCTCCCCTGGGCCTGCCTAAAGCCGGAGGAGGGGCTGGGCTGGGTGGGGATAACCGTGGCCCCTGATGAGAGACGGTGGCTGGGGGAGCGAAGTGCCCCACCGCCCCCCACACTCCCCGCACTCACAGCGCACTCCCAGGCAGACGACAGCCACGGCCAACAGCAAACAGGTGAGAAGCAGGCCCAAGAGGGGGACCTGGGGGGAGGCTGCACAGCCTGGGGGCAGGTGCGAAGGCCAGTCAGTCCCGTGGAAGGACTTATGGACTGGGGGGCCGGGGGGCACCCTAACCCAAGGTGGAGTGGGGCTGAAGGAGGCAGGCCAGGTGGGTTCTGGGGGGCAGGGGCTATCCCAGGTAGGGCCAGTGGGTGTCCCCAGGTAGGGGCAGGGGGGTGTCCAGGTAGGGGCAGGGGGAGTGTCCCCAGGTAGGTGCAGGGGGAGTGTCCCCAGGTAGGGGCGGGAGGCGTTCTGGAACAAAGGCTGGGAGCTGTCGCGAGCCGGAGCCCTGGAGGCCTTGGCCCGCAGCGTACCCCCGGCCACCCTCCCCGGACACGCAGGGTCCCGGAGGCGGAACGGCCGCCACTCACGTGGGAGAACGCGCCCAGCGGCTGCTGAGGTCGTGGCGCTCCAGGCGGCGGAGGGCGGCCCGGGCTGGACCCCTGAGGCGGGAGTGCGGAGGTTAGCGGAGGGTCCCCCTGGTCTCCCGGGACCCTGTGGTCCCTCCCGAGTCGCCCGTCCGCGCGTCCCCCAGGTGTCCCTTTGCCCCGCGCCCCCTGCCCAGCCCACCCCAAGCTCCCCGCACTCAGCGCTCTCCGCGGGCTCCCAGAACCCAGCGGCCCAAAGGACTGCCAGATGCCTCCTCGGGGGGCCCGTGTGTCCCCGCGGGGCTCCACCAGGCTGGCCCTGCCCGCATGTCCCCAGCCTCCTTCTCCGCTTTCCCTAGACACCCTCCTCGCCCCCCAGGCTCACGTCCTCTGCAGCCCACACAGCACCTGCCATACCTGCAGGGTCCCCGAGTCCAGCGGGAGCCACACCCCCGGGCCCCTCGGGAGCTGAGGGCACCTGGACGTTCTCATAGGTGAGGTCGCCATCCTCGTAAGCATCGGAGTCTGAGAGGAGAGAAGGGGCCGCCCTGGGAGTCAGGGTGGGGTCCTGAGGGAGGAGGGGTGCAGGTGGCACCGAGGAGACCCCCGCCTTTCCCCTGACCTAGCCAGTTGGAGAGGCTCTGCTTCAGGGGCGCCTTAACGAACCGCAGGTCTGCATAGGTGATGGCGTCCGCCATGGCCCAGGGCCCCTCCACCCACACCCCCGTCTGGCTCCCTGGTCCCCTGGCCCCGAGCCCCCCCTACCCTCCTCTCCCCTTTACAGTCTTAGGCTCTGTGTTCTCTCTGACCGCACAGATAAGGTCTGACCCTGTGACTTCCAGTCACGGAAGAGGAAGATGTTAGCAAGCCCTGAGCAGATGGGCTCAGTGAAGCAGAAGGCACCCTGGGCCTGGGCCAGGGGTCAGAGGACGGGAGGCTGAGGTCCAGAGCGTGGGACTAGGGGCTGGGGGTGTCCCACTGTGCCCCCTTCATACATCCTAGACCCTCTCCCGTGACACGGGGCAGCTGCCCTGCTGGCCCTGCCCTGCTGCCTACCGTGCCCCCTGGGCCTTACCGATGTGCGGTCGGAGCTCTTTGGTGCCCGAGTGACCCTAGAGGATCCCAGTCACTGTTCCAGGGTGGGGCTTCATTGTCCCCATCAGACTGGGGGTCCTAGTGTGGATTCCTAGCTCCTCATCAGCCTGGAGTTTTCAGTGAGTGTGGGTCCCCGAAAGAGGTCCTCTGATGTTGTGAGTCCCCACATGGGGCTCTCCTCCCCAGGAGTTGGGGCTTTCAGGGTGGGCCCAGCTCCTGGCCTGCGGTAGCCCCACAGAGCTGCTGACAGACCCCACCTTCACGCCTCAGGGAGGCTCTCACTCAAAAGCCCTTTCTGGGAATGCCACAGCCCTCCTGGCAGATACCAGGAGGACCGAACAGTTGCTCCTCTGTAAAGACCCCCCGAGCCCCTCTTCGGAGCCTTCCCTGCCGCCTCCGCCCTAGTTGTCCTCCTGTGATCCGTCCAGCCCTTCCTCTCCCCACTCTGCCCCACAGCCAGCCTCTGTCCCCACAGCTGAACCACTGGGAGCCACCCAGAAGGTGGAGCCCAGAGACCCAGGAAGAGCCTGAGCTGGGGCTGAGGGTGAGGAACGTTCTGCTTGTGCTCCGAAGAAGCCTCCTGTGCACCCCAGCAGTGCTGGGGAGCAGGGCAGCTGCCCGCGGGCTGAGAAGGGCTGCAGCTTCCTAGACAGACGTGTGGCAAGGAAGCGGAGCAGGGCCCGGAGTTGAGTGTGCAAACTCTGGACCGGCCAAGAATTTTCTATGTTTTTGTTTGGGTTTTCCTAATAAAGTTCTTCCTGAGAAAGGTCCCAACCGCGTCCTTTCACAGCCAGCCCCGAGGTGGAGGAGCTGGTGGAAAAGGGAGCAGGACCCGGAGGCAGAGCCACACTTAGAGGGGGGGCTGCTGATGGAGAATGGGGGGCCCGGAGGGCAGAAGGGGGCTGCCGGGACTGCTCCCTAACATTCCTTCCCTGCTCTAGGGGACCACAAAAGCACCCCGTCTGGGGAGCAGGAAGGGGCTGGGGCAGGACAAGGTATGGAGGTGGGGAAAACCCACCCCTGGGGGTGACATCCGCACCTCAGAAACCCCTTGAGCAGCTGTGGAGGGAAAAAGGAAAGGGGAAAGAGGGCCTTACCGCAATCTAACGCTTTTAGTTTATGTTTGGTGGTGTGTGGCGCGGCCCGGCCCCGGAAGGCTCCCACTGAGAGTGCCTGAGTGTCTGAGGAGAGACAGTGGGGGGGGGGGGTGCGTGGGGGTGTGTGTGTGCACGCTCTCACTCTTGGTGATCTGTTCCTGGGGTATCCGTGTGAAGGGAGCATCTACATCAGAGCTTGTCTGGGAGATTACACCCGGGGTACCCTGCAGTTGAAGGGCGTCTTTAATTCCCGTTATTATTATTTCTGGGGCAGGGAATGACAGGCCATTTTAAGAAAAGTCTTACAAGGCCACAGGGACAGGTTCTACAAGTGTTTCTTTTTTAAGGTCTGTGTTCCCTGAGGTGTCCCTGCAGCTGTTAACCGTCCCTGCTTGGTTAAGGTTCCCAACAACCCACCCAGGCACCCTGCAGGGCCTCCCCCAGACACAGATGGTGTGTGTTGGTAACTCCCTGGGGGCCTCAGGGGCCCGTGAGAGTGAGTGGGTGGCAGTGGGGAGGGAGCAGTCAGTGCACTTGTGTCTGTGGGGTGTGTGAGGGGGTCGGCGTGGGAAACGTGGGGACCAACTGCAGGAGGCCTTGCGGGAATCCAATAAACTCGAGATACTATCTCAGCTTGCAGCACTGATACACGGGTGGATATGACCTGGAGCTGGGTCAAATGCCAACCCCAGCTCCCTGGGTGCGCTCTGAAAAAGAGCCGGTGGGTGTGCGCCTAACTTGGCGCCGGGGAGGCTTCAGAAGGGAGGGCGCCCAGCTGGAGCCGGGAGGAGTGGAGCTGCACACCGGGCTCCCAGGGCAGGAGCTGGCCTCGGAGGCCCTAGGCAGGCGTGGCCTCTGTGGCTCTTCTGCTGCTGGGCGCACGTCTGCCCGTGACACCCTGCACCCCTCTCTCAGAGCCTTTTTTGTGTGAACGGATGGAGAAGCGGGGCTCTTCCTCTTCGCCATGGGTACCATGCAGGAGCTTTGCAGTACTGTCAGCCGCTTTTCTTTTGAGGCTGTGAGGCCAAGCAGTATCCCCACTGTCCAATTGTCAGACACTGAGGGGCTTTTAAGAGTTGAGGGACAGTGCTGCCCATGTCAGCACTTCCAGGACCATAGCATCGTCATCTGAGACCCTCGAGGACAAATGCCAAAGCCCCTTTCTTGCCTCCATCCGGCCTCTCCGCTTCCTGTTACAGGGAGTAGGGTGTGGACATAGACCAAAGCAGGGCGACCAGCAGTAATGGCGTCTCGGAAAAATTTTCAGTGAGGAAAGGGGCTCATTTTGGTGAATTCTGGCCAACACTAGGAAATGAGGGATGCCTCCTAAAACTCTGGACGCCAGATTCTCTCTCTCTCCCCCCCCTCTCTCCCCCCTTCCCCTCCCTCTCTCTCTCTCTCTCTCTCTCTCTCTCTCTCTCTCATCCCAATCTAAGAACAGGAGTCCTTGAAAGGGAACATCTTTCCCAGATGTAGGAAGAGAGAGCTTCCATGGTGGAAGAAGAGTCAGATACAACGTGAGAAGGACTCAACCAGCCCGTGGCTGGCTTGGAAGACGGAGGAAGCAGGCCGTGAGCCAAGGAATGCAGGCAGCCTCTAGAAGCTGGAAAATGCAAGGCAGCAGATTCTTCTCTAGAGCCTCCAGAAAGGAACGCAGCCCTGCGACACCTTGGCTTTGGTCCAGCGAGACCATCCCGGACTTCCGGCCTCCAGAGCTGAGAGGCACCGGGTTTGTATCATCCGAGCCTCCAAGTGTGTGGTTTTTGTTGACAGCAGCAACAGAAAACAAGGGCACAAGGGTTTGCCATGTCCCTTGACCTGTGGGGAGGAATGATGTAATGGAAGGAGGATGCTACTGGGGGTCAAGTAGCCGGTCACAAGGTCTGAGGTTTTCACCGGTAAAATATGCATGGTCTTCATGATGTCTGACACCAATCAAGGGTGTGATTGCTGGAGACACAATAGGTCTCAAAAAAAACAAACAAAACTCATTGCCGTCAAGTCAGTTCCAACTCAGCAGCTCCCATTACATTTCCAAGGTTGTAAATCTTAACGGGAGCAGATGACCTCATCTTCCTTCCACGGAGCAGCTGGTGGGTTCAAACCACTGACCTTTTGGTTAGCAGTGACATGTCTTAACCACTACCCCAGCAGAGCTCTCTACAGTAGGTCTAGACTTTAGCAAAAGCATCTCAAAAAGTCTGACACAATAGCTTAGAGCCAGGTGGGAGCCACCCGGGCCCTGCTAGCACTGCAATGGGATGGGCGGCTCTTTGAACCCCTGAAGCCAATGTGCCACCGTGACCCTTCTTGCCCAGGCATCTCTTTGTTCTGTCTCACAGAATGGCACAGCAAGCACCTCCACGTTTGCTGATGCCACGGAGCTGGAAGGAAAAGCAACACACTGACAGGCGCAAACAGCACAGCGGGGCGCGGTGAAGACTCCAGGCCACAGAGCGAGAGTTCACGAAGGGAAGGACGATAGCCGGCGTTTACTGAGAAATGAAATTGAGATCCAGAAATAAAGCACGGCAGCCTAGGATGGAAGGAGCCCTGGCTGAATGACAGTTGACGCACAAACCGTCAGGGGCAGAGGCAGAGCTGTAAGGGACAGCCCAGCCCACTTATTTTACAAATTAGGAAATGGGGCTCCATAAACTGTGAGCTCAACTCTGTGACCAGGAGGGTTTGTGGGAAACGGCTGCATCGATAGGGCTCCAGCTGCTTTACCAAATATGTCAAATACTGTGCCGGCCACACCTACAGCCCCTTTTAAGGACGCAAACCCCTGTTGATGAGGCGGCCCTAACCCCTGGAATTTGTAGTATCAAATTCTGACCTCAGCTGACTGAAATTACCAAGGAGTCCGTAGACTAGCCTATGGGGCAGCAGGATCGGAAAGTCAGGGATGCTGCAAATTTACCAAATCTTCATTCTCAGGAATTTAGGGAAAATAAGAAGATGGTCACTCGGTTAGGAGTGGGAGCTGAAACTGCAAGGCTGACCAGAGTGGGGTTCTCCTGCCGTAACAGCTGTGCCTGGCTGCCCTCTCGCTTACTTAGTGCAGAGTGAGTCTCCTGGCAGGGTAATGGACCGGATCGTCATGTGGACGCAAGGCTGCTGTCCCATCAAGGCGGTGGGAGGACTGCGCCACAGCCAGGGATTCCTGACCCTCTTGGAGCTCCCCGTCCAGTGATTATCCACAGTCTGAAAAGGGCAGGGTAGTCAGGTAGTCAGACCTCTCGGGAGTGAAAACCTAGCTCACTGAGCATCGAGCAATCTAGAACCAGCAACAGGTGCTGCCTGAGGAGGAAGGGGGTTTGGAATGCATGCTTGAGGAGCCTTGGACCTCTAAGTCGACTGGAGGTTACAGCCTCAGAGTCAGGCTCCGCGCGGCTCGGCTCGCTGACCCTCCTATTGCCAAGTGTTTATTGCATCCCCTCCTCCCCCTTCTTTTTCTTCTTTTTTAAGAACTTGTGACTGTATTTACACTGAGACCAGGAGAA